CGGGGGCGGGGGGGGGGACGGCCCCGCGCCGCGCACCCCCCCCCGTGTAGAGTTCGCCAAGGTTGAGAAGCACTGCTCTAGCATAATGCGGAGGGGTGCTGGAGAATTGGAAACAGAGCTTTGCTTGGTTTACTGAAAGTGGGCTAGTTTGATATTTTCAGTCATGTAAAAATACCCTGTTTTTTAAAAACTATTTCCGAATATTGTTGAACTACAACTCCCAGCCAACATAGTTAATGGTGGACAATGCCTGGAGTTGCAGTTAGCAATCTATGGAGAGCCACAGACCCGCTGTAGTTTTTGATGAAAAGTCTGAGATCCAGAATTCCTCTCAAATCCTCCAAATGTTAATGGACACTGCTTTTGTCTTGTAAACAGGAGAGCTTTCCGTAAAATTCTGCAATTATCCTTGCAGTCACGGGTTTGGTTTTGTTTTTAATCCAACTATTTTTGTTTTGGCTTGACCGCATGTTATTGTCTCATTTACAGATAGATGTGAAATTATACATTATGTCCTTTCTCACACCAAAAGATCTGATTTACTTGGGAAGCACCAACCTCTACTGGAGGATAACAATCCAAGATCCCTTGCTTTGGAGATATTTCCTCATCCGGGATCTTCCTTCCTGGAATTCAGTAGATCGGGAATCTCTGCCAGATGCAAAGATATTTAACCAGCCTTTTGCTGAGTTAGATAATATGGGCCCATACAATTTCATGGCAGCGTAAGTATTTGACCATGTAATGGTGTAAAGTAAAGTAACAAAGTAATTCCGTGCGCGTTTACTCCAAAATAAAAATTTTCGTTGGATATGAATTGCCAATAGAAGCGAATATGTGTAGCTCAGGGTTGAAGTGTGGAGTCCTTGGGGTTCTTCAAGCTTGGTTCTTTTCTTGCAAACGTTTCATTACACAGCTAGCTAACATCTTCAGCACTAGTTGCTGTAACAAAACATCTGCAAGAAAAGAACCAAGCTCGGAGAACCCCAAGGACTCCACAATATGAATTGCTTTGCAGGCTCTCATTTTCAAGGCCATTTTATTAAACTCATTAGCTATGCAGTATTCACACTGCATGAAGTCAGAATATGAGTTGTTTGGGTTTGGCTTAATGTGTTGGTTTATAGATCAGGTTGGTGGCTTAGCATGCTGTGTGAACTCAGCCAATCCACAGAATCATACGAGTTGTAAAGGGCTGCTGAGGTCATTGAGTCCAGGCCCATTTTCAATACAAATTAAAGCATCCCAAAGAGATGGCTGTCCAGCTTCCCCTTGAATATGTCCTGTGAAGGAGAGACCACCTCTGTGCAATTGGTCCAATACTGAACACTTACATTAGGGAGTTTTTTTCTCAGTATCTTGGGTTATTTGATAAACTGTGGTTAAATTTTAGAAGGAAAGTGTGGGGTAAGGAGTGTTTATCTAGGTTCAAGGAGACCGAGATTCATCCATATTCTGCGATGGAAACCACAAGGTGATTTTGAACCAGTACTTCTGCCATGATCATCCTCAGTGAAGGTCAAAAAAGTCAAATCATGGGTGTGATGGTGTGACTGAATCCTTGCCTCTTTTTAAAATACTTAGGATGCATGTTGAAAAGAGACCGAGCTTCAATTTCCCGGTTGCTCCCACCATCCTGGCTGTATTTAAGCTCCCCTGCAGATGCCCTGACTTTCACTGAGTCTAGCCTACTTAACAGGGATAAAATTAAAGAAAGGAATACTCTATAAGTTGCACTGAGCTCCATGGGAAAATGCAGAGAATAAATACAGCAACAGAACAATAAGCATCTGAGGAAGTGCAATAGGATTTAATTAGTCAGTGGGACTTAAGTAAATCCAACCCTTTAGACCAGTGTTGGCTGGGGGATTCTGGGAGTTGAAGTCCACTCATCTTAAAGTGGCCAAGTTTGGACAACACTGCTTTAGACTTTTAAAAGGTTATAATGTTTTGTTAAAATCTCACTTTTAAATTACTACTGCTGTTTCTAGGAGGATTTATTTAACACTGGCAACATGTTTGCTACCAAATGTCATTACCCAACTATATTATATTATGTCAGTATAAAATATTATAATGTCATAATTTCCAGTGGTATGATAGAAAATTACATTTTACCGCATTTTACATTTTTCCTAGCCAATTCCTCCCCCGCCCCAAGACATCAGTTCTTATGGGAGAAGCTGCTAAGGAAGAAAGTAATACACCAATACATCATGTTTCATGTACATTGTCAACTAATGCTGATTGCTGGTGTTTTTTATTTTTTTAATGCAGGTATAAAAAATGCTGTTCCTTCCATAAAAGGTGTTTGAAACCCAACTGGCCTATGTACGGCACCATGCCTTCTTTTCTGCAGTCACTGATCACACAGGCAGAGCCTCGCTTTGCTATGTTTGGGCCTGGTTTGGAAGATTTGGATCAATCTTTGGTATACAAAATGATGGGAAGTCCAGAAATTCTGCCACTAGCTGGCATGCCTTCTAGACAAATACATGGTAATATAGTTTTCCTTTTGTCGGAAAACAAGAAAACAAACAAGATGAAGAACAATACTGAATTTAAGAATTTGGCCTATGAACTACAGTACATCTCTTTGGGTCTGTTACAAAATATCTTTTAACTCAGCCTAATGTTTCACAACCTAGCTAACAGCCATAGTTTTGGGGTTTGCAACAAGGTGCGTATGGCGGGTGTCACCTTAATGGCTAACCAGTTTCTTGTTGCATAAATTTTTTTGTATTGGCTTTAAAGGAAGAGAAATTGATCCATAAATTTAATCCATCTTTCCCAAGCCTGGTAAAAGGCTGATTTATCTATTACACAAGGGTTTTTATTTATTTAGTCTCCTTTATTAATTTAATAAAACAGAACAGAAAGAAAATCATAACAGAAAAAAATTAAAAAGAGAAAATGCAATTATAAGATCACTTCTCATGCATATATAGAGGTTTTTATTTATTTAGTCTCCTTTATTAATTTAATAAAACAGAACAGAAAGAAAATCATAACAGAAAAAAATTAAAAAGAGAAAATGCAATTATAAGATCACTTCTCATGCATATATAGATGTGTGTGTGTGTGTGTGTGTGTATATACACACACATACATACTTTTTTATATAAGTTTCAAGAAAAGTTTACCATATTTCATTGTAATCGTCCATAAACAATCTACATCTATAGCAATTTGTTCATAAGATGCAAGTAACATCCACTGTTCAGTCCAGTGAGTAATTGGGGCCCTAAATCTGACATTTCAATTTTGAAGAACTGATCTGTTGGGCAATAGTAAGGGCACAAAGATTTTATTGTCCAACTGTCCATTTCCATGTAGTAAGTATGTATTTCAAAATAATGTGTGCATTTGAAAATATTAAACTTTGTTTCAGAGTAAATTAACATATGAAACCACTTCTTCCCAAAACATAAGTTTGGGATGTTGCAAAAACATATGCTTCCAGGCAATGTAATTCTGGTTATTCTGGTTTATTCATTCCTTTTCTATAACACCGCATTTGGGTCCAAGAATCTAAAGTAGTATTTTTTTTTGTTTTTGTATAAACCATAATCTAAGATCCAATGAAGTTTTTGGTATTAAGGTTAAAATGTTTTCCCATTGTATGGGCAAAAATGGAGGTCTCCAGTTTTTTATTCCATGAGTCTTAAAGTTTGCATATCAAATTGATTTTTTGATAATAGATTTTTATAATGACTGATTGTGGCCTTTTGGTCTCATAGGATTTAATGATCCCTTCTAATAACTTAGGTGTCTCTGAAGCTGAAAATGCTGCTTGTCCAAATGAAGATGTTAATAAATGTAATTGTAAATATTGCCAGTGGGCGTCAAGTGACAAACTGTATTTATATTTTAACATAGAAAATGATAAAAACTGTTGGGGTCTTTAGGTTAGATCAACTAATGGATAATTGATACTGTCCATTAGCTGATCTAACAAAGATCCCAGCAGCTATCTAAATCTTCCATAAAACCATTTTTATCCATTCTGAGATCTATTGTCACATAGTTTCAATTTAGCATGAGAAAAAGGATTAAAATCATTTTTCAAGAAATATTTACAATAATTTTCAAATCTATATGATAGGAACAGGAGATGCAGCAAATCCTCCTCAACCAGGTGTGGACATTTTCTTTGCAGATAAAGATTTTTAATCATCTCATCTAACCAGTTAGATTAATTGTGATACACAACTGCAAAGCATCTTCAGGCATCCAGAAATAACGGATTTCAGGCTTTTGTACAGACTGAATACATTCTTCATTATAAATAGATGTTCTTATTTATATACTGCATGTATTTTTTCCTTTTCCTGTAATAGGAATAGGCTCCGGAGTCACATTTCATTTGAATGGCCAGAAGTTTAACATTCTGACGCTGTATTCAAAAACTAGGTAAGATTTATTGAGTCTGTTCTAGGGCAAACAAAACTGATTTCAAAAAGTTCTTGGGAGTTCTTGATGCTCTCTGAGCTTGGTTGTTTCCTTGCAGGCATTTCATTACCCAACTGATGATGTTACCCAGTTGGGTAATGAAACATCTGCAAGCAAACAATCAAGTTCAGAGAGCACCAAGAACTCCACAGTTCATCCCTGAACTATAGATATTCTCTTCTATTGAAAACGTTATTTGCCTTGGAGAGTTCTTTAAAGAATATTTCTAGATATAATCCTTTGCTCTGAATGACTCAGTCCCTACATCCATCTGGAATTAGGAATCATATCCTCATATTTTTCAAACAGCAGTTCTCCAATGCCAAAATGGACAAGATAATTATTTAGTAGTATACCACTTGGCCTTGAAGAGACCATATTGTTCTTTCTAAGCCATTTGTCATAAGATCCTTTAAACCAAGGCTGCACAGCTGGGGTGGGATGAGGATATGAGACCCGTTCAAGGGTTTTTTTGGGTGATTCTTGTTCCCCTTCTCAGCTGTGGTCAATTTGCAGTAAATTAAAATTAACTAGTTTTATGACTGAGAGCCAGGTTGGTATAGTGGTGAAGGCATTAGGTTAGAAACTGGGAGACCATGACTTCTAATCCTGCCTTAGACATGAAGCCAACTGGGTGACTTTGGGCCAGTCATTCTCTCTCAACCCTAAGAAGGATAAGAAGGAAATGGCAAACCACTTCCAAAAATGTTGCCAAGAAAACTGCAGGGATTAGTTTGGTCACCAGGAATCAACACTGAGTCAAAGGCACACATACACCGTTTTATAAGATAGAAGAGAATTGATAGGAAATCAGGAGAATGAAAAGAAGAATTGACTTAAGAAAAAAATCTTTTTAATGCTGGATATGCTTATTTTCCATGTTGATCATACCCACATCTCTCTTTTCCCCAGCCATAGAAACCCCTGATACATTTCACAAGGCCCACATCAAGCCACGAATACCAAAAGAACTCATGTACCCTTGCTTTAGTTTTTCCCAGAGTCTTTGAAATAATTAGTACTGTTTTTCCCCCCCAGCAAAGAAAGGCAGAGAGACAAAGCGGATACAAATTCCATCAACAAGATGTTCTATGAAGTGAGCAAAGTGGATGGGACAACACAGTATAATCTAATTGAACATGTTCAGAATGTGTGCAGGGTAGCTGATGGGTTCATCTATGTTGCAGACGCTGAGGCTCATAAAAGTAAGGGTTTCTAAATGATGCTGGCATTTTTCAAAGGAGGATGTTCAAGTGCATCAGGTAGAGGTGAATGAAACAACCATCTCTCTTTGCAGGACACAATCGTCAAACTGAATTTGCTCGGATGGCAGCGATGCTTGACCCAACACTTGGGCCTTCAACCAGACCTCTGTTGATTCTGTCCTGCATTTCAAATGCTAGGATGGAAAGGATTCCTTGTATTTACCTGGCACATCAGCTCCAACTAAACCTGGTTGACCGACCATGGATGGTATCTTAATATTTTTGAAGCTTTATACTCATTTATCTAAGCAGGTATTCAGACACACATACACACTGCCAGAGTAGTTTATATAGTTCAGAGTAGGAATATTCCTGCCCTCAAGCCTATAATCTAAAAACATGACACACAGAGGAGGAGGATGGGTGGAGGAGGAAAAACCCATCAGATACCAGTTCTTCATTGGTACTGAATATAATGAACAGCTAGTGCTGAAAATGTTCAGATAATCTGAAATGGCTGCTCTTAAGTGACTAATGAAAAGAGCCAACAGCCCTGCTTAATTCTGCTTTCTTCTCCCTCTCTTATTCAGCTGGATGGAATGGCTGCTGCTAGTTCGTTTTTCAGTTTTAAAGCACATTTTAAGTATCCTGCATTTTAGTCAACTTTGCATTACAAAACTGATTGACAACAGGTTAAGGAAGCACATTTCCCACATTCATGTAATTAGATAATTAATGTAATTAAGTTTCATGACTGCTACAAGATGCGATAGCAATGGCCACAGAATTTGATGGTTATTAGGATCGTTACAAAAATTCAGAAATTCTTTGAGGATGATTGCAACCTCCACAATAATTGTTTTAGTTCTGTATAATGTTCCAACATCTGCCTTTTTCTTGGATTTTACAGGTTCAGGATACTGAAGCTGCCACACTGGTTGGACTGTTGGATGGAATTCAATGGCTCCTGGAACAAATCAAACATTAATCTGCAATCACTAAGTCACGTTTAATACAGAATTATGTTATTTACATTGCAATACCTGATTAGAGTGTCATTTTATCTCAATTAATAAGAGCTGGGAAGAGACAACTGGTACTAAAAATGACCAGTAATTTAATAATTTTAAAAAAGATTCCCTCAAGACGTTTCCCATGGGTGTCTTCCTTCAAGATTTAATGGAGACATGGAAACAAGGAAAGAGTATTATACAATGAAAGATGGGACATTCACCCCTTGATCACCTTGTAACTAAACATAAGAATTTAACTGACATTTTATTTCAAAAACTTGAATGAAAACTGATGGAGAAAAAACCAATTTTTAACTTTTTGAGATTTGATTTTAACTGTGAGCAGCCCACCCCCCACCCTCTGGGGGAGATGGGCAGCATATTAAATAAATAAAAAAATAAAAAAATAAAATGCTGCATAAGAGCAATGTTCTCATAAACAAAAGGGCACTTATCTGGGTTCTCAAGGTATTCCCCAAATATATCAGCAGATCATCTGCAGGTACTGTCTGCTTGAGAACCTATTTTCCCTAAAAATATTCTTGGCAGAGATTCCACTGTCTAAAGTTATGATCAAAACCGTGATAAGATGTGCTATCAATTGCTCAGGTTTCTTGTTTGTACTCTCTATCTGTTCCTAGTATAAAATTATGGCAAAAGCGCCCAAACAATTTGAACCAACACCCAACGTCAGTGCATGTTGAACTGTACACATTTTGATTTTGTATATTGTAAATTCTTGTATTTCATAGGGAAAGTGTCAAAGAAATGCTTTAAAAAAGCATACATACATCCTTAGAGACACTTCAATAGTGAAGTTTAAAAATAGAAGTGGAGTTAATTTGTAATTGAATATACTCAAAAGCAGACATGCTTTTATATACTTGAGAATAATAATGGATGACCTCATTTTCCTTTTTCAGTACTGAAAATATTTATAGTATGTTGGGTGCTGTACATTTAAAAACTGTGTATATAGGCTCTCAGTGAAATCCAGTACATAATTCAGAAATAGATTCTGTGGAATTTGGTGGACTTAGTTCCAAGAAAATGTGCATTGCCATATCATTCTTTACTAGCCACCAGATGTCATCTTTGTAACACAGAAGTTTGTATACTATCCTTCATAGGAGATTGTAGAATCCAGAACTGCTTTCTTAGACACTTCTTGGGAATAGCATGGCTCACTTCTAGAGGTAGAAAACCTGCAAGGGACATTTTAAAATGTCTGTTTATTTTGCACTACTGTAAATATATTTTTAATAAAAGGAAAAGGAAGAATTCTTTTTATTAAAAAATTTATTGCAAAAATTTTCCCAGCAATTCCCTGGAAAGCTTGGAAGTAGAATAGAGCCGCTCACTCCTTTAGATAGAGAGATAGATAGATAGATAGATAGATAGATAGATAGATAGATAGATAGATAGATAGATAGATAGGAATGTGTATGGGACTCAGATGTGAGGAATGAGATCTCTCTTTAAAAGAAGTGGAAATTGTACCCATATTTAAAAATAAATACCTTTTGTTGAAGGTGGTCACTCCTTTTCACATTTGTATTTTGACTGGGCTTGGAAGCTAAGCAGGGTCAAGGCTGGTTAATACTTGCATGGAAGCAGGAAATTCCAGAACTGTAGATTAGACTAGGAGATCAAAAATATATCCCAGAAGAAGCCAGTAGCAAATCATTTCTGCATTACTACCAAGAAAATTGTATCAATGTGTCCATGGAATCACAATGACTCAAACTTAACTTGCAGGACACTGGACTTTTAAATCCACAATTGTGCATCAGTATGTCAGGCGGGATAAGGATCTGGAGACAGATGCTTCATGTGGTGAACCACAGAGCTGAACACTGCAATCATAGAAAAGAACCAAAACAGAGGAAGTTTCTCCATGAAGGACCACCCACTCAGGCTGGTCACTGGTTCCTCCCAGGCAAGGAGGGTATAAGGGGACATTTGTAACTGGTCTTTCTTCTCAATTTCTGATTTGCTCTTCAGTCCTGAGTATTTGGTGTGTCCAGTGGCTTATGTCCAGCTTCTCTCCATGACCCCAGCTGTGACAAAAACATTCTGTGTACATTGAATTAAAAAAAATATGAAATGGATGACTTGAAAAACTTTCATTAAGATCTGGGAAGCTTTTGTTTCCCATGAAATACCAAAAAAGCCTAGATTCAGTTCAAAATGATGAAACATTTAAGCTTGAGATAGGTAATTATTAGTTGCATATGTTTGAACCAAAAAGTACTGTATAGCCTCAAGGTCCATAGATGAGGAAGCAAAGCTGAAGACAAGTAAGTTTAGCTTTGCAACCCAGGTAATGAATGAGACTGAACAATATCACAAACTTTCTTCATCACAGAAAAAGCTTTTGTTGCTCTGAACTACAAGGAAGGAAACCAGCCAACTTTTCTGTGCCAGCACTGCTGGCTGCCAGCCAACCAGATAGCAAGCTGGATGCCAGGCAGAACTTTGAGAAGAAAATAGTCCTTTTTACTGACATATTAAGACAGGCTTGGCACAGGTTGAGACTAGGAATCCAATAGACAAGAGTCAAATCCAAAGGAAAAGACAGGAGACACAGGTGGAATCCAGAGTTCTAAGTATCATACAGCAAGGTAAACACAACAAAGCTGAGGATGGAAAAGTTGTTCTCAATGTTTTCTCCCAGGAAGTGGGGTCATTAAATAAGCCAAACCAAGACTCCACTCAAATGTACAACTTGGGCATGTTACACTTTAGAATCTAACTCTCCTACTGGCTTGCTTTTTGGCTGTCTGACCTGTGGAGCTCAGCCCTTTGTTGTTGTATCTTTAAAGCTTGCCTCTGCTTAGGACTGGGTGGCTGAATTTCAGATTCTGAGAGGCTCTCGGTGGGTGCCATCAGGGAGTCTTGGGGCCTTACTGGATCTCCCTCAACCAGAGTGGAGTCATTGGCTCCACCACTGCTGAAATCATTCAAACCAAGACTGTTATCCCTAGATCCCCCTGGCTGTGCTTCCTCCCCTTCTCCTCATCAGAAGAAAGTCCAGCAGAGCCATAAAGCCAACTCATCTAGTCATAGAGACATGTTTCTTTCTTGAATGTAAACTATAAGCTTTTTACAGCAGAACTTCCAAAGACAATAGTTGATTTCTGAACTGAATTAATACATTCTGATCAGACTAGCTTGGTCCCATACAGAGAGACAATATCTGTTATATTTTGAATGTAATTCATAATATAAACAACTGTGGAAAAGACCAAGGAACAGGGGAATAGACCAGCTCCTTGGAACCTCTCTGGATAAGAAGAGGATGGAAGATTGCCCACATGCACTCTGGACTCGCAAGGAGACCATAGGAAAGCGGTTTTCCATAGGTTTGAGCACTGGGAGATGACAGGATCACCCATCTTGCTTGCAACCGTGGTGGAGTCTTTTAAAGGACACTCAGTTCGCAAACCTCACTTTCTAATCACTTTTGGAAATTGTCAGCACAGTCATTCCTTTGAACTAAAAGAGTCTACATATAGACTCTAAAAGAGGAGAGGGAGTGGAAAAGTTTTCACAAATTCCTCTTTTCTAGCTGTAACCCCCAGCAATCTGGTATAGTTTTCAGAGGTCCTGGGGGCTACAGAGGAAAGAGAATCTGCAAATGTGGCCTGTTCCTCTTTGCTGTGTTAAGAGCAAGCATCCTTTGAGTGAAACCCCATCCAAGGGGCCTTTCCACTGACAGAGCATTGCTTGCAATTCTAACCAACATGTTTAAATTGTGCAAAAAGAGCATTAGGAAACAAAACTTTACAAATCTCAAGAGGGAACAGAATAGGACTAGAAATAAGAGTCTTAAGAGAATCGATAGATAAGCCATGATACGTTTTTAGACACTTTCTAAAGATCTGACACACCAGCTTCCAGGAGAAGTGATTTTTAGGGAGATGAGCAAGGCCTTTCTACATGGGTGAGGGCAATCAAAGCTGGCAGACTGAGGTAATCACTTCAGGAAGCAGTTGCTGGAAGAAACAGTGGCAGTCTCTTCTTATATTCTAAACTTCCTAGCTATTTTTTTTCTCTGTAGGCAGAAAACACTTTTTATGCCACCCTACCACTTCATTTACCAACTTAGTAAATTAAAACCAATGTAATGTAAATGGTATTAGACTAGGAATAGGGACATCCAAGCTGAAGTCCACCCTCTGCCACAGAATCTCTCTGGGTGACTTTAGACCCACCACTTCCTCATAGCCCAACATACTTCTATAGGGTTGTTGTGGGCAAAAATGGGAGGAGGGAGAGAAATCTATCTATCTATCTATCTATCTATCTATCTATCTATCTATCTATCTATCTATCTATCTATCTCCTGAGGTCCTAAATGAAAAGTGGAATAGAAATCAAACCAATAACCAATAACCAATCATAGTTAACAAACCTCACTGCCTGGATGCACACAACCCATCAAGCCACAAACAAGCAAACCACATTTTGTCTTCTTGGGTGAACCCAGACAACCCAAAATCTAGAACGTCATCTCTGGCACAATGGAGGATGCCGTTCAAGCCTCTGTACATGGAATAGGAAGGGCTTGTGTCTGGTTTTGTGGTGGCCCAGCTCTGCTTTTACTTTTGTGATACGGATTGCAGGTCACCCAAGTAAAATGATAAAAAGGAGCCTAAAGGTATAAATATAATTGTGAGTAGTCATCTGCACCACTGCATTCCTTGGGGGCAAATCCTCTTAATTCTAGTTCCTTCAGGTTCTGTGCTAGTCCCTGCAGTCTACTGCATACCTTAGTGTTTTCACTGGAAATCAACAACTGCTGAAATGTGTAAAATGTCAAACTGTCTATCTAATATAATTATGGAAACCAAATAATTTGCAGATTGTCACTTTCTTATGAAGGCTACACAGCCATGTAATTATCACTTTCTTAGGAAGAGATGGCTATATAGCTATGTGCATTATGTTAGTCATCTAATTATTCTTATGCATGTGTACAATTTCCATGAATACAGTGGCTCTCTCAGAAAGAATTTTTTTTTACAAAGAAAGTTCTCTTATCTCATTCAGACTTCGGTCTCTTAGTCAACATGCCCTTAAATCAGAAATCAGGCACCTTCTCATCATGGCATTAATCCCTCTAATTTGGTAAGATACAATGGTGTGAGAGATAGTTTGTGTTGTTGTTAGGTAATTCATTTGTCAACAGACTGTTGCAATTTTGCTGCTCTTTTTCCCCATGCAAAGAATGGCTTAAAATCCTTTAAATAAATACATAAGGAATCCTACTTCAGGGAAATGCATGTGAATTCAGATGATAGAAGTGATTGTGCTGATCTTTTATACACT